CTTCTGGGCGATGGGTGGCGTGAATGCATCCCCTTACGACCCTGATGGGTGACGTGAATGCATCCCCTTACGACCTTGGTGGGTGGCGTGAATGCATCCCCTTACGTCCCTGATGGGTGACGTGAATGCATCCCCTTACGACCTTGGTGGGTGACGTGAATCCATCCCCTTATGACCTTGGTGGGTGACGTGAATGCATCCCCTTACGACCTTGATGGGTGACGTGAATGCATCCCCTTACGTCCCTGATGGGTGACGTGAATGCATCCCCTTACGACTGTGGTGTAAGCAACTAAAAACGAACAGCCATGGAGCCAAATGAAGATGATGCAGAGAATGGCTCTTAGTACTGCCGCTGGGGGGGAGGGGCGCTAATGAGGAAAGAGGTACAGACGCCCCACTGATCGTCACACCAAGGTCCCATTGTACAAAGAGTGACGATTGGGATGATCTGGGGAAATGGGGAGGGGCAAAGGGTAACTTGGAGAAGAAACTGGGAGTGGACTGGATGGAGACCAGAGGTGGGACCTTATAAATCCCAAGCCATCACAGAGGAACGGGGGGGGGCTGAACTGTAGCTGTGCCTGCTTCACCTCCTCCTCCACCTCCTCACCTTCAAACCCAGGTCAAAGCAAGCTACACTACTAATGTAATTTACCAACATCAATCTTGCCTTCATTTACATTCATCCATCAGATCAAGAAAGAAATGAACCACTCTCACAGAGAGCCACCAACAAGTGGCCTCTTCCCTGATTGCCCACGTCTATGTGCATCTTGTCCATGACAGTGTTGGATGAAAACAGCTTCCCAAAGACTCATAATCTGTCTGTTGCTCTAAACTGACATGTCCTACAGTTAAAACTGGTTTAAAAGCCTCTGCCAAACCACCCAGCCATCCTCATCCTCATTTTCCTCACCAGTGCTCCTCACAGACAGAGCCTTCCCATCTCCACCAACAAGTCTCAGTGGTACCAGGCCAGTCCAGGACAGTCTGCCCCCCACCAGGACCGGGCCGGCCCAAGACAGTCTGCCCCCCACCAGGACCGGGCCGGCGCAAGACAGTCTGCCCCCACCAGGACCGGGCCGGCCCAGGACAGTCTGACCCCAACAGGACCAGGCCGGCCCAGGACAGTCTGGTCCCCACCAGGACCGGGCCAGCCTACTCCCCATTGAGACGCATCAACTATGGCCCTGGGGGTTGGGAGCATCTGCAAGAGTCGGCACCTCCATCCATCATCATGACACCGATCTGGCTGCCCAAACAGGTCCCCAGTCAGCTATCCATGGTTGGATCTGGACCGCACCCCCTTGAATCTGCCATCAGATCCCTGAATTCACAAAGACGCATATGAAAACACAGCTAACTTCACCCGCATGGGGGAGGCCGGTTAAGATGACACCGCACCACTAATGGGTGATTATTGTCTTTGTCGGGGAAATAGGCTGAGGCGGTTTATTCAGAAATGTGGCTGTTATAATTTTAGTGTCTTTAGGGTCCGAAAGTCGCCCGAAGGGTATAGAATTGGCAGGACCCTGGAGCATGAGACTGACGGGAAACGGGAGACAGGAAGTGACACATGGAACATCCACAAAGACATGGCGACACACGCAGAAAAATGTGTCAGAGCCCCGTTTGTCACCCCCCTGCCACCTTTCACAGGCACTCGAGCTCCAGTCACACGCCACGGCCGTCAAGTCGCATCTGAGGAGATCTGAAGAGGGCGGCAGCAACTGGGGCGTGACGCTGATCATTGGCCTGGGCACTCCTCTTCCTCTCATCTCCTCTACCGGTGAGCACGCTCTCAGCTGAATCTCACCCGTACAGCCCAGCTTCACCATTTTCACCTGTCTTCACCTGCCAAAATCGGTTGCCAGGCAACGAGAGATCTCACCCCCCCCCCAGCCCCAAACTGCCCACCTTCCATGGTGTGACATGGGGCGTCTTAATCGTACACATGATCTGGTCTGAGAGCTCATTTCAATGCAGAAGCACATAGCAGGTTAAACCATCATGGTGGGGGGGGCAGGTTTATTTAATAGATAATAAAAAAAAAAATAATGCATACCAAATGCATTTTTTTCTTTTAATAATGTTCAAATTGATTAAAATATAGGTCTGAAGCTGAATTAAGCTGAAAATAATTGCAAGAGAGTGTAACAGAACACAGAGTACATCGAATTCTGTTTTCTAAATCAATCGTGGTACATTTCTATCTTCATTTAAATGCAATTCCCCCATCAGGCCAGTATGGTGGGAAAGAAAAGTCTGGTTTCAGAGTGGGGAGTGTACTGGTCACTGAAGGTCCCCATTAATGTGACCGACTTGTGGGGGCAGATCGACACAGTTACTGCCATGTACCTTGGTGGGGGCAGATCGGCACAGTTACTGCCATGTACCTTGGCGGGGGCAGATCGACACAGTCACTGCCATGCAACTTTCCACATAAGCTGCACAACATACAGACATACAACGTAGGAACAAGGTCCCATGTCACTCGTACTTATTCTCAAACCAACATCCATCCATCCATCCATCCAATCATCCATCCATCCATCCATCCATCCAATCATCAGGAGTGTAATGGTACATGTATTTGTGTTCGGTACGGGTCTTTCGGTTCAGTACGCATATGTACCGAACAAATGCAGCAAATGCAGAACTTTAGTGTGTGTGTGTGTGTGTGTGTGTGCTCCGCCCAAGCAGCATTCAGAAAGTGGCGGATCACTACGCACGCGAGCACAGTTATACTCAGAAAAACTGGTACTCAAAGGTACAGATAATTTTATAAATGTGCACGCTATTGGACATTTATTTTATTTTTATTTACTTGAGAGAATATTCATTTTGATTTACGGCTTCCGTGGCCGTTTATCTGGTACCGGTTTCCAGAGAGTCTGCAGCTTTTCCCAGGATGCACTAGGACAGAGAAGCAGGATGCCAGTGCATCACAGGGCAAACACCACGGGTTTTAACCCCACAACTCCAGGGCTGTAGGTTCGAATCCCGCCTCCATTCTGTGAGTATTGTGTAGATTCCTTCTATGTTCTCCAGATCCCCCCGGAGTCCAGACATGCCATCAGCCTAACCAGTGTCTCGAAAAATCACGTGTTGTGAGTGCATTTGCCCAGTAATGAACCAGCACCCTGACTATGGTGTCCCAGATAGGTGCCCCCTCCCCACACCAGGATAATCACAGATGATGGAGGAATAATAATATTAACTACTATTATTAATGATAATTAATTGCCCTCATCACCATCAATAATAGGAGGGGTGGACCTGGACATGGTGAGGTGTTCCCAGAATGCACTGGGCTGACGGCGGTCAGTCAAACCCTTGAAAACCACCACAGGTGCCTGGCAGATGGGGGCAGGGGGCAGGCGTGCAAAATGGAACGTTTCAAAAGAAAACAGGGAGGGAGGTTCTGACTGAAAAAGGAAAGAAAAGTCCTTTGATCCTTTTAGAGAGGATTTCACTCAGGGGGGGTATGGGCATAAACGCTGATTAATAAGCCGCAGAGTGGAAAGTCGGAAGGCATGAATGGGATCATTGTGGTACATCTATTTCTGGAAGAAAGGGATTGCGGGCAAGAAGGACATCAAAGAACCTTCCAGAAAGAGGGCCGGTGTGGACCCAACGTACGACACCCCCCAGCAATGCTGCTAGATGCAGGGACATGGGGACAGGTGTATATTATTACATCATGTGAGACATTTACATTGTAGTAATCCAAGCTTTGCCTTGGCGATGGAGGTCATCTCTTAATGATGATAAGCTACCATAGAAGATTTGTCTCATGTTTTTGACATCCCATGTTTTTTAAAACACCTACATTCAGAATCAGTTTATCTAACTGTTTGCAGAAGCTCTCTTTTCCATGCCGCTTGGAGGTACTAACTGTACTTCACATTATTCAGGGGAACATAAAATTTCACCGGTTTTTTTTTTTTTCTCATTTTACTGATGGCATGGGCCAGTAAAAACAGTCCCGG